ATACTTGCCAGGGCAAGTATAATCTCAGGTCCAGGGACATCCAATACTTAGTAAAAGTTGAGCAGAACCAATGCTATGAGAGGTTATTTGAAGTTCATTCTCCCCCAGGTGTTTCAAAATCTGCCTCTGGATGATCAAACCAGCAAAAAATCACATATGGATTACGGTACAACCACAACACTTGGAGATGGGTTCTAAAAAAAAGCAAACCAATGATACAAAAACAAAAGAGGGGAGGGAATAAGGAAAATGCAAAAATATGCATCAGAAAGCCCTATGTACTTATTACAAGTAAAACTTATTTTCTCCTTAATGTTTTTCTAGAGGTTGCTAGAAAGCAACCTCTCAAAGGAGAAAAACATGATCAGTTGCATAGTCCACGGTGTCTTTTACATAAAAATAATACAAAAGAAAATAAAACTAACTTCCTGAAATAAATTACAATTATTTCTCACATGAAAAAAAAATCTGTCTTGAGAGGCTTCCCTGATTCTTTTTCAAGACAAGAATGAGGAAGATGTCGGGTGGCAAAGACAACAAGCTAAGAAAGTTCATGCCAGGCTCTGCTAACATTCAATGAACATAAGTGATGACCCTGAATTTGAAGACGTTTAAAGATTTTTGTGATAGTTGTTAGCTTTTCTCCACATTTCCAATTTCTGTTCCATTTGTTTTCTTGGAAATAATCATATATGTTTTTAGTGTATCAAAGATTGTCAACCATTCCACAGTATTCACGCTCTACTTTTTTCCTATAATGGATATTTCTCCCAATTTTTAAAGCAGGGTACACAGTTGCCTAACTAGAGACTGTTTCTCAGCTTCCCTTGTAACTAGATGTGGCCACATGACCAAGTTCTTGTCACTGGAAAGAATGGAAGTATAAAAGATATACAGTAAGTCCACACAATGTCGACAGGTTTTTGGAAACTGTGACAATGCTGAGCAAGAGATGTTATTTGACAGCCTGCTGTCTGATGTTTTCTTTAAAGTCACAGTTTCCAGGAACCTATCAACTTAAGGGAAGACCTAATGTATGTAACTTCCTTGTCATTTCCTTACAAGGAACATTTGTTCTTTACCTCTTCTCTTTCCTCCTTCTACTGCCTGCAGGATGCACATGTGCTGCTGAGCCAGTTTTTTTGTTTTAGTAGTGAATGACAGGACAACAGAAGCAGCTTGGGTCCCTAGAGCAGAGTAGTCACCCCAATCTACCTCCCTACCTCCGAATTATTTCAAAAGAAAGTAAACTTCTATATTATTTGAGACGCTGTATTTTTAGATTCCTTTATTACATCGGCATAGTCTGTACACCAACAAATACAGCTATAAAACCTAAAAAAAGGTGGTATGCTTCCTTCAGGGCCCAACAAGGTGAAAGAGTCTAAGACGACATAACTTCGTTCTGTGAAATATGAATGGAAAAAAATTTCTCTGGAAGGGAAATATATAAGGGCAATAAAAGAAATTACTGGGAGTGGTATAGCAACCACTCTAGGACTTAAAAGTGTCCTAGAGGAGACTTCTAGGTGATGACCAATATTTACACAGAAACACAAATGACATTCAAAAGCAAAGATATGCTTTTAGCCATAAAGGCTTCTATCATAAAAAGTATTTACATTAAGAAAAATACATTATTAAGTTTGGCAATTTTATATAATTGATTATAATGATTTTAACAAGATGTAAGATGTCACAGATCATTCAAAAAAAATGTAGCATAGCAGAGTCAAGTTAGAGCTGTTGCAACTATTTTTGCTAACTTACGTTTCATGGGTGCCAAAAAAGAAGATAGGATACTTGTTTGCTGGAGGCTTCACAGCTCCCTCTGGGAGTTCATCAATCTATGAAAGATAAATTTAGTTACTGAGTGAGTGGTTACCATAAATACAATGTTAAGCACTGTTCCAATAATTTACTGCTAATTTCAAAATAAAATCGATCAAAATCCAAATTGTTGTTCTTTTTAGAACTTTATAAAATGATTCTAAAGTTCCTATTTGGCCCATCACATGGAAGTTAACTCTAGGAATGGATTACAACCATTATAACAATTTATAAGCAGGAGCCAAAACTACTCATTTCCTTTGACTCAATTGAATTACTCCTGGGAATCTGTCCTAGTGAAAAATTAGAGTAACAACAACAAAAGAAACAAAAAGATGTACTTTTTTTGAGTAACAGTGAATACATATACATCCCTAGAAACATAAATAATATAGAATAATAAACAATTAACTTGATGAACTATTATGCAGTCATTAAAAGACATCATCTCTTCTCTGGACTACTACAAGTCTCTTTTCCCACCCATTTAAAGTATAATTCCCTTTGAAAATGCACATCTGATTACGTCCCTTCCTTACTTCAAATCTATCTACAGCTTCTCACTGCCTACAGCATTCCTAGCTGTGCATCTGACTCACTTATGAAGCTTTTAAAAAATAAAGATATTTCAAGCCCTTCCTCCGATCTACTAATTCTTCCTCAGATCTATAGCTGAGGTTGAGAATCTCTGATAGGATAAAGTCAAAATTCCTTAGAATACTATATAACTACACAAACATTATTCCTTATAATGTTTCAATAAAGGGTTTTGACCAGTCTAAACTCCTGTTACTTTTCTCCGCACATGCCATGGTTTGGCAGTGTGAAACTACATGGAGTTGTTAATAAGCATGCTATTTTCTTTCACGTAGCCTTCTCTGATGGTTGCACTTCTCCATCTTTCAGACATATAATGTTCAATTACAAAAGTAAGTATTTACAAGAAGAAAATAAACCACAAGAAAACCGCCAGATCTTTTCTTCTGAGACGTCGTCAGACAAGTTCCCAGAAATGCTTACATAGAAATGCTTTCTGGTTATAACCCAGCTTTCCCTCTCTACCTCAAACATGACAACTCCCAGCATTCATAGGTGTCCAGCAAGTGAAGAATCCTGAAATTTAAGTTTCATTAGCTTCATGGTAAATCCACCTCTGTATGTCACTCTCTCGAAGCAAGATCTAGGTACAAGTCTTGTGTACAACACTGTCACTTATTGGCTATGTGATCTTAGGCCAGTAACTCAACGGCAGTTTCTTTCTCTTCTCACATGTAACTACTGACACTCATCATATAGGGTTGCTGTGAGCAGATGAATGGTGGTTTAGAATCTCTGGCACATGCCAACTGCTTAATAAATGACAAGCAGTCGTTAACTGTTATTATTAACTATCAGAGCCCCTAGAGAAAGAGCAGCTCTCCCCATGTGGCTTACAAAACCCTCCACTGCCCACCTCTTATCGACTGACTTCTCTGACTTTCCCCCATTGTTCCTGTCTGCCCTGTAAAGCCACATGACATGGCTGTGTGCAGACACATTTTAAAAATCACTTTTCTTGGGAAGGCTTACCAGACTGCCCATTGCAGAACTTAACGTTTTACTGCCATTAACTGCTGAATTCTGTATATGCTTCTATTGCTGAACTTTTTACCTAGTACGACTCTATTTTCAATTTATTCTCCTTCATTAGACTACGCAATTCTTGAATGTGGGAGCCATGTCTTATTAAAAATTGTATCCCTGCTAGTGAGCACAGTATCTGGCACACAGTGATTCTTAATCTTTGTTTTCAAAATGATAAAAGTCACTCTGGGTGAGTCAGTGTGTGAGTAGTAAGTGGATTTGAATGTCTAGAACAGTATCGTATACCACTGTAGACTTACAAGTACTTTGTACTTAGGCTACACTAAATTTATAAAAATAATTTTTCCTTCTTGAATAAAAAAATAACCTTGGCTTGCTGATTTTTTTATAATACTATACACACATACATGCTTGGTGACTTGGAAATAATCTAAGTGTGCCATTGCTGTGTCCCCCGCCCTGCTCCTCTGAGATCTTGGTGCAGCAGGACTTTCTCTGTTTCCCGCTCAGGCATTTCTCTAGGCAATCAGAGAACGAGCTTGCCTGGATCAGCAACCTGAGTCACTCCATCCCTCCTGTGCAGAGATCTTGGTGCAGGAGGGCCCTCCACTCCACACCCAGGCTGATCTCCAGGTATTTGGAGCACCCATTCACCTGGATCAGCAGTCTGACCCATTCTTCCATTCCTATGCAGAGATCCTGGTGCAGGGAGGTTTTGTTCCACGCCCAGGCAGATCTCTAGGCACTCGAAGCAGCAGCTCACCTAGATCAGCAGCCTGAGTTGCCCCATTCCTCCTGTACAGAGTTTGTGGTGCAGGGGGACCCCTCTCTGCTTCAAACCTAGGCAGATCTCCAGGAATCTGGAGTACCCATTCTCCTGGATTAGGAGTTTAGGCCACCCTCAATTCCTGGGCAGAGAACATGGGATCGAAGAGGTTCCCCAGCTCCATACCTAGGTACACTTCCGGGTGCTTGGTGGCTGCCCACTGGATTCTCACTCTGCACTGGTGCTTGTGCTGGCAATTAGGGGACCCATCTGGTCCAGCCCCACCCTTCATGCACCTCCCCACGCCAGGCTCAGAACACTGTGCAGGCCACAATGCAGTTGATTGCCTGAGGCAATAGAAGGCTTCCAACAGCAAACAAGGATCAAGTATATACCCAGTCACATTGACTGCAGTCGACTCTTACTTGTAAGTGCCATCTACAGGCTTGTAAGTCAAACTGCATAGCCCAATGTAAAACCCACCAAAAGAAGTGCATAGGGCTATAAAAACAAAGCCAAAAAATACCCAGCATTCTCTACAGTCATACTCCCTAGAGAGGGGATAAAACAATAAGGGAAAAAATAACAGCATCATCAAGAAAGAAAGAAATAGAAAAAAATCCCACTCACACGAAAATAATTACAAAAACTAGAAGTGCCAGTGTCCCCTGATGAGAAAGAGCCAATGAAGAATTCTGGCAGCATGAGAAAGCTGAATGTAATGAGACTACCACAGGATTGCACTAGTTCTTCAGCAGTGGTCTCTAACCAAAATGGAAACTCAGGAATGACAGATAAAGAATTCAAAGCGGACTGAGCAACCCTAGTGACAGGAGTCGAAGTAGCAGCGCAGATTGTCCCCGTTTCCCCTCCCCCTTCCCTTCTCCGGTTGCCTTCCCGGGCCCCCTACACATCACAGTCCCGGTCCCGCCATGTCCCAGAAACAAGAAGAGAACCCTGCGGAGGAGACCGGTGAGGAGAAGCAGGACGCGCAGGAGAAAGAAGGCATTCTCCCTGAGAGAGCTGAAGAGGCAAAGCTAAAGGCCAAATACCCAAGCCTAGGACAAAAGCCTGGAGGTTCTGATTTACTCATGAAGAGACTCCAGAAAGGGCAAAAGTACTTTGACTCAGGAGACTACAACATGGCCAAAGCCAAGATGAAGAATAAGCAGCTGCCAAGTGCAGGACCAGACAAGAACCTGGTGACTGGTGACCACATCCCCACCCCACAGGATCTGCCCCAGAGAAAGTCCTCGCTCGTCACCAGCAAGCTTGCGGGGTAACCTGAGCCCCCCTCTCTTCCCCTTCCTCAACCACTGGACTTTTATATATTATAGGCAGGGATCAAATGGTCACCTAGTGAGATCTCAGCTTCCTAGCCAGAAATGACTGTGATTCTTCTGGGAGCTGCTGAGAAGGTAATGTAGGTTAAAGAGGGGCTCTGAGTTCATTACCTTGGTTAAATTGAGACTTCCACACCCACCCTGTAGTCCAGGTAGGGCCCAGATATAGGAAAGACTAGGATTGGAAAAACTGCAGATGCCTTTTTTGTGTGAGAAACTGGAGAGATGTGATTTCTCTTTTTTGGAAAGAATGTCCCAAAATTGATTAGGCTGAGCCTTTGGAATAATTTGGCAGGTTAACAAATTATTAACATCCCAAGGCTAACGTAACATAGTTGGGAAAGGTAGATTGAGTAAGACGTGTTTTCTGTGCTTCTAAGTGTTCTGTCCCTTGGGCTGCTATTGCTTCGTGTTTCCATTATGGCAGGTTTAGAAAATCCTTAAAAAGAAAAATTGATTTGCTTGCCAAAAGCTACAATGCCCCCTTAGGCTTCATTACTTAGTATCTCTTACAGTTTGCTCTGGCTCTCAAATAATGTAAAGATTGATGAATATTATTCACAGAAAATGGGCACCTTCTCTCTCTTTTCCAGCATGTTGCTTTTGAAAGTATCATGGGATAGTGGGAAGAGCATCGGTTTAGGAGTCAAGATATCTGGGTTCTGGTTCTACTCGGTCTCGGCAGAGCTGACGTATAACCTTGGTTAAGTCATTTAGCCTCTGGATTTCTATTTCCTCATCTGTAAAATAGAGTTAAATGTATGTATTAAAAAAAAAAAATCCAAAGCATGGATTGTAAAGAAGCTCAACGAGATCCAAGACAAAGCTGAAAATTAACATAAAGAAACTTCTAAAACAATCCAGGAAATGAAGGACGAGATAAACAACTTCAAAATCAGAGCTTCCGGAATTAAAAAAAAAAAACTCAAGGAATTTCAAAATACAACTGAAAGCTTTAGAAATAGACTGGACCAAGCAGAAAAAAGAATTTCAGACTTGAAGACTGGTCTTTTGAACTAGCTTAGCCAGACAGAAATAAGGAAAAAAGATTTATAAAAAGTGAACAATCTTTGAGACATATTGAATTATATAAAATGATAAAATCTGTGAATTACTGACATTCCTAAGAGAGAAGAAAAAGGAAACAACCAGGAAAATGTCTTTGAGGGAGTAATTCAAGAAAATTTCCCAAATGTTAGTAAAGAAGTAGATTCTTCAACACTGGCAAGAAAAAACACTGGTGAGATACTATACAAAATGAACATCACCAAGGCATACAGTCACTAGAAGGTCCAACGTCAACTCTAAAGAAATTCCAACCAAGAATTTCATATCTTGCCAATAAGTTTCATGGGCAGAAATAAAGGAGAAAGAAAATCTTTTCCAGACAAGCAAATGCTAAAGGAATTCGTTACTACTAGACCAGTCTTAGAAGAGTTGTTAAGGAAGCTCTTAACATGGAAACAAAGAATAATACCTGTTACCAGAAAAACACACTTGGGTACATAGCCTGCAGACCCTATAAAGTAACCACACAATAGAAGTACAAAACAACTATATTGGTCTGTTCCCACATTGCTATCAAGAACCACCCGAGATACAGTAATTTATTTATTTTTATTTTTTTATTTTTTCCCATTTATTTTATTGCATTTTAGGTTTGGGGGTACATGTGAAGAACATGCAAAATTGTTGCATAGGAACACACGTGGCAGTGTGATTTGCTGCCTTCCTCCCCATCACCTACATCTGGCATTTCTCCCCTTGCTATCTCTCCCCAGCTTCCCACCCCCCACCGTCCCTCCCCCATTTCCCCCCCAACTGACCCCAGTGTGTAGTGCTCCCCTCCCTGTGTCCATGTGTTCTCATTGTTCAACACCCGCCTATGAGTGAGAACATGCGGTGTTTGATCTTCTGCTCTTCTGTCAGTTTGCTGAGAATGATGGTTTCCAGGTTCATCCATGTCCCTACAAAGGACCCAAACTCATCGTTTTTGATGGCTGCATAATATTCCATGGTGTATATGTGCCACATTTTCCCTATCCAGTCTATCATCGATGGGCATTTGGGTTGGTTCCAGGTCTTTGCTATTGTAAACAGTGCTGCAATGAACATTCGTGTACACGTGTCCTTATAGTAGAACGATTTGTAATCCTTTGGATATATACCCAGTAATGGGATTGCTGGGTCAAATGGAATTTCTATTTCTAATTTATAAAGAAAAGTGGTTTAACTGGCTCATGGTTCCGCAGGCTGTACAGGAAGCATGGCTAGGGAGGCCTCAGGAAACTTACAATCATGGTGGAAGGTGAAGAGGAAGGAGGCACATCATACATGGCCAGAGCAGGAGGAAGAGAGAAAAAGGGGGGAGGTACTACATACTTTTAAACAAGATCTCATGAGAACTCACCATCACAAGAACAGCAAGGAGGAAATCTGTCCCTGTGATCCTGTCACCTCCCACCAGGCCCCTCCTTCAACACTGGGATTACAATTTGACATGAGATATGAGCAGAGACACAAATCAAACCATATCAGCATCCAATAACTTCATGATAGAATCAAAACCTTGCATATCAATATTAACCTTGACTATAAATGGTCTAAATGCACCACTTAAAAGGCACAGAGTGGCAAATGGGATAAGAAAACAAAACTTATCTGTCACCTGTCTTCAAGAGACCCATCTTAGATGTAATGACACTCATAAGCTCAAAGTAAAGGTTTGGAAAAAGATCTACCATGTAAATGGAAAACACAAAAGAACAGGATTTGCTATACTTAGATAAAACAGACTTCATATCAAAAACAGTAAAAAAGGACAAAGAAGGCTGGGTGTGGTGGCTTGCGCCTGTAATCCCAGCATTTTGTGAGGCTGAGGCAGGCGGATCACTTAGGTCAGGAGTTCAAGACAAGCCTGGCAAACATGGTGAAACCCCGTCTCTACTAAAAATACAAAAAAATTAGCTAAGCATGGTGGCAGATGCCTGTAATCCCAGATACCTGCAAGGCTGAGGCAGGAGAATTGCTTGAGCCCAGGAGGCGGAGATTGCAGGGAGCCAAGATCACGCCACTGCACCTCTAGCCTGGGTGGCAAAGTGAGACTCCATCTCAAGGAAAAAGAAAAA